AAAAAAAAAAAAAAAAGACCCGGTTTTATTTTTGGGAAAACACGGTACATAGGGAGGGGTTTAACTGCAACCCCCCTTCAAATATAGATGAGGATTTAAAACAGTGGTCACCATGATGCATTGATAAGTATTTTTTTACTTCCCAATAGAAAATGACTCTACTTGTAACATTTAATGCACTCATATTTTTGATTATGCAGCTTTTTAAAAGGCATGTGCTTCTTCCCAGTAATCTGCCTCTTAATAGCTTCCATCCTTTTCCAAAACCCCACTTTGGAAATTAGAAACAGGAACTATTTGTGTTTGCTAAAATGTTTTAACCTGAAAACAGCCTTACCAAGACAGAGTCACAGGGCTGGGATTTGAGTTCGCCCCACACAGTACCCTCTAACCCTCCTGCCGTGAATTCAGAAATATTGTTTTGAAATGGAAGGACAAATATCATTTACAGGCAAACCTTTCCATCTGGAGGTTTTAAGATTAAGAGGGGTATGTCTCTTTAAAAGCAGAAATTATGATACCCATGTGCAAAGTACAGCTACTTGTATCGGTATAATCACTGACATTTCATAACCAATAAATTAAATTAGTCAGAAGAGGATGACAACAAGAATGTTATGCTAATTACTAGACCCCATTCGAAACTTCGTAATTATAAATATATTTGTACCTAATGCACGGATCCCTTACTCACAGTCCCTTCCTTATAACTAAAGAAAAAGGCCACCACTTACACAAAGACATATTTCATAAACTAATTGTAATACCAAAGTGCTATTAAGTTGAACAGCAAAGCAGTATTTGTTTTTAAAGCAATTCCTGTGTTTAATAATAGAGAAGGCAAACCAAGAAGGCAGTTAGATGGCTGTTAGGGGGGGGAAAAGAATCCAGCTATAACAGCAATTTGACAGTGGCACCAAGAGCCAGATATTGTACTAGATTCTTCTTCACTGGATATGTTCAAACGGATGCTGGACATTAAAAAAAAGAAAGATGTAATATGCATAAAGAAGCAAAGTGGGGAACAAACATATTGGGGAAGAGATAGAAGCGAACAAAACACCAAAAGAGAATGCATGTAATATAAATTAAACAATATAAATTAAAGTGATACATGACCAGATTAAAGAGGAGATTATTACAAATATCAAGCATTATCTGTTTCGGGAGGGTAAAATATGTAACCAGACTATTCAAATTGCTCAAACCTAATTTTCTAACAAGAGCAATAGTGCCAGGATTTTTTCCCACCTTTTTTCTGCTCCCAACATTAACAAGGGTCGAGCTCTAATGGGCTAAAGGGAGACTTGGAGAAGAAGGGAAATGTGATTACTAGACTTGTTGGAAACTGATAAAAAAAATAAAATAAGGGACTAATTGGATTAATAATTAGGATTTAGATTTATAAGGGAAATGGACATTAAATATTAGGAATCAGCTTTGAACTATTGTTTAGCCCAGAAAATATAGATGATGGATGTGAGACAATAAAGGTCGCTCTATTAGTAAAGTGTGGTGTACTAGGATGAGAAATAGAAAATGTTCATGAAATGAAATAAGAATATATTTAAGTAAGTAATGTGTGTGTTTTTAGATATCATAACTTTTGTGTAGTGAAATAAAGGACATTTGGGTGACCAGAAATTTGAATATTATGGGAGGTTAAAGGTTACATTGGAATACTGTAATAAAAAATTAAGAATTAGGTAAAATTTAAAAACAGGATAAGGATAAGCAAAAAAAATAGATTGATAAATGCTTTAACTGAGCTTGTTATGATTAGAAATTTACTACATTATGTACGTTGTATCAAATGTTAAGGGAAATAGAGAAGGCATTTTTGATAATGTAACCTGAGATAGGTACTAAAAAATTTGTTACTGAACTACTGATTACCCAGTCACCACGTTGCTTTGAATTAAGGGAGTACTGGGATAGCTATTTCAAACCTTATTTGGTTTTCATCAGCCAGACATACCCTTCTGAGATTCGAACCTGGGCTGTCTGCATGTTAAGCAGGTTCGAATCTCAGAAGGGTATGTCTGGCTGATGAAAATCAAATAAGGTTTGAAATAGCTATCCCAGTACTCCCTTAATTCTTTGTTAGCGATAATTTTGAATATTGGAATCCCAGGTATGGACATTTAAAGTCAATCAGATAAAAATAAAGCACTCTGGGATGTAAGGTAAAAGGCTTTTTTTATTAATTGCTGAGCTTTCGTTAACAACCTGTTAACATCATCAGAGAAAAGGGCTAAATGAGAAGGGGGGGGAGTAAGCGCATAAATTTACATAACAGTAAAAGTGAATCTCCCATGGACTGACATTTTGAGCCCTGAGGACGTCAGCAGATAGCTGACAAAAGCTAGGCGTTTTTAATTAGTAATTTTAATATTAAATTATTTTACCATATTCCCTGGTGCTCATGTTTGCTCACTGATTTTAATAAATAATATAAATAAAAGGGTTGAGCTGAAAGACTACAAAAGAACAAGTCTGTTTTCCAAGACGAAGTAAACTTGTTAGTGAGGATGGACTGAATTTGTTTCAACCCGTAATTCAAGACTAATTTTTTCCCATGGCCTACTAAGAAAGCCTCACTTCGTTCCAGCCAAAAAGGTCTGTTCAGCATAGAACAAAAACACGTGGAATCGTAGTTTTGAGTACTGCAGAGAAATAAAAGTCTTAGCTCCAAATTATTTATTACACCCCAACCAGCACGGGAGGGCTTATGGACACCGATGGCTATTTTTTGCGTCTTGTCGTTATCAAAGGATGAAAGACTGAAAAGCAGATTCCTAAATATTTGCAAACCTCACGCAAGATGCCGTTGATTTCCCAAATAGGGCAGCAGTTGAAAAGATGGGGAATAAGACTACCTTCGCTCAGTGGAATTAAGGTGCAATTGATCTAATACGGCAGAATATCGCTTGAAGACTGAAGCCTCTGACAATCACTAATCTAGAATGACAGCAGCGTCAACACAAAGAGGCAATGCAAGAGGATTATGCTCTGGGGCAGAACCTGTATCAGACAATTAATATAAATATTTAACAAAAGGGGGGGACATGGATGCACCCATTTGACTCCCTTTCAAGTGGGAATAAATGGAGAAAGACTTCCACTTACAGCACCTCTAGGTGTTAAAAGTGTTTTTGTAGAATATAATAAAGCTGGGAGTAAAAAAATAATCTATTAATTTAGTTGCCCGTTTCTTTCACACTTCTCTGGAGGAACTGATAGCATCTGTTGTGAATGCCCTTAGTCGGATTCCACGTATCTTTAATTTGCGAAGTTTGAAAAAACACTAGTTCAAATGAATATCTCCCATTTCTATTACTTTGTAGTACTTCCTTCCAAAGATAAGTAGCAGTTTAATGACAATACTCACTCAGATATTCTTATAGTCATTTGAACGCTAAGCTCTCACAGCCAACGAACTTTGTGTTTTAATACTGGTTTTTACGATTGCCTTTTTAAATGTACACTGCCCAGGGTCTCAAATCGTTATAAATATGACGTACAAAGCAAATAAAATTTATGAACTGGCCACGAAGCTAAACGCAATTTTCATTGGAAGAAATTCAACCAATCTCAATAGCTATGAGATCATAAAACATTATTTATTCTGGCACATTACCAAGAGCTATCTGACTGCAATTAGATTCTTTCTCGTTCTTTTTAAGCTAATTTAGAAACCCAATTAAGTATCAGGGGAGTTTCTTTTGAAATATATGCGAAGAAGAGATATTGTCATTGTAATAAGAGAATTCTGTAATTTAAAAAAATATTTATTTTTAACCAAAGAATTTATTTACTGCCTAGTTCAAATGTAAATCTCTCCTACTTTGTGATTAAATTATTTCTATCATGGCTAAATCATCCTTTCTCTTTCTTTTTCTTTCTTATCTATCTATCTATCTATCTATCTATCTATCTATCTATCTATCTATCTATCTATCATCTATCTATCTATCTATCTATCTATCTATCTATCTATCTATCTATCTATCTATCTATCTTTAAAAATTAACCAGTCTATTATTGACACAGTTCAAACATTTTTACTTAGTTTCACTTCCTTGATAAGTTGATGGAAGTTTCTTTTTCTTTTTTGTAGATTGTGCATAGTTTCAGTAGATGAAATAAACTTACAACATGTACTTCTACATTATTTCACAAGCAATTCATTGTATCACTTTAACAAATATCCACAAATAAATACTCTGGAATCGAATATATGTTACCTGCTATTGTTTAGACCCAATAATTACCTTTATAAAGTTTCAAGTTACTTCTCCTCTCTATCAAACATTAAGCTGTATAAAATGCAGGATAGATAAGCAAGTCTTTTGTTAGAAATTCTTCAGGTTGTTTTGGTTTTCCATTACCTGAATCACTTCAACACTTACATTGAATCCAAGGATGCTTTCAGTTTACTATTCCTTTTTCGTTATACCTTTTGTGTTGGAAGAGTTCTAAAATAATATAATTCTGCATATTCAAAATTAGTGTCAGTCTGTACTTTTAACATTAGGCATGTTAGAATGGAAAAGGGTTTCTAAAGATCCAGACATTCAGTTTTTCTACAAAGTTTTGATTTCCAGAGGTGGATAAACACAGGCAGATGAGAATTTGCTCATCTCTTTTTTAAGACCTCTTGATATGGCAAAGTCTCCATGTTATTTATTAGGATGTATAATTATAACCAAATTAAGTGTCAAGAAGCAGAAACTTTAGAAAATAAATAAATTAGTCTACTGGACCGTGGGAGCAAACGTCACCCTGCAAGGTTGACTCTGCTAAAGTAGATTAGATTTATATTACAATTTAACACAGATTCAGACTCTCAAGGAAAGCAGCAACCTAGAACTAAGGAGAAACTTCCTGACAGTTAGAACAATTAACCAGTGGAACAACCTGCCTCCAGAAGCGGTGAATGCTCCAACACTGGAAGTTTTTAAGAAGAGACTGGACGGCCATTTGTCTGAAAGGGTATAGGAAATTGGTGGCGAACCTATGGCACGCGTGCCAAAGGCGGCACTTGGAGCCCTCTCTGTGGGCACACATGCCGTTCCCCCAGCCCCGCCTCCCCCCCCGGAGGAGAGTCGCCCCCAGGCACGGCCCGCACTGAGCAGCGCAGCCAAGTCCCTGGCAGCAGGGACAAGACTCCACCCTCGCGCCCTGTCGCGCGTAGATGATGTGGGGCGCGGGCGGAGGGGATGGCCGCCATGATGCTGCTGGGCCGCCTGGGCAATCTGCTACTGCAGGCTCTGGAGGCGGTGGGTGGTCCTGTGGGTGGGTGGGGCGGGGGCGTAGCAGGAGCAGGGTGGGGGGGATGGAGCGATGGCAGGGGCGGAGCGGGCGGGGTTGGGGAGCGGGGTGTTTTTTGGGCACTCGGTCTCTAAACGATTCACCATCACTGATATAGTGTTTCCTGCCTGAGCAGGGGGTTGGACTAGATGACCTCCAAGGCCCCTTCCAACTTTATTATCATCCTTTCAATTTAATGAGGAAAATTCCATCTGCCTTCAGCAGTCATTTATTCTCCTCCGGATTTTCATCAAAAGACACAGATCAAAATTGGCTGCTTCTTCCCTTTAATGAGTTAGCTCCCTCGACCTGAGCGAGCAGACCGCGTCTGTTAAACGTCCGCGGAGATGCCGACTTACCTGAATTGGAACTCGACTGGCTATCCTGAGAGTAGTAGCTCTCGTTTCCATCCGAAGTGGAATGCTGCGAAGACGCGGCGGCGGCCGATTTGCTTCTCTTCTTATTGGCCTTCCGCTCCAGCAGTCGTTCCTCGTCGTCGTCCTCGCTTTCGCTTAAGTCGTCAAAACCAAAGTATTTAATTTTGTAATTGGAGCTCCCGGAGGCTCTGGACCCGCCTTCGCCGCCCCCGCCTTCGTCGTTGTCGTCGAAGCCGAAAAATTCCAACTTGACGTCTTTCTTGGATTTGGTGTTGCTGGGTCGGAACCGGGCGGCGGTCTTGGCCGTGGCGAGGTCGGCCTTCTTCCTCAGGCGGCCCGCTTCCCCCAGGTCGGTGGGCGTGGCCGTGGCGAATTCGTCCATGCGGTCCATGGTGTCTTGGATGGTGACGTTGCAAACCGATAAGCAGGAAGGGTGGAGCACTGTGTAGTCTCTAGTCCTTCCTGCGCCTTTAAAACTGGTCCCACTACTTAAAGCAACCTTCCTGACTGGATTCACACCATCGGCGTTCGAATCACTGTTTGCTTTGGCGAGGGGTTGGAGAGTGCCATCCAGCAGCTTATCAAAGTTTGACATTCCCTGCAGTTTTGTTTTGTTTGATCTACAGTATGTCCGACAATTACTCGGCCTGAGAACAGCTTGCATCAGTTCCTCGTGAATGGCTTCCTTGGGGCCCTCCATCTCTTCCTTGACCAGCACTTCGCCCTTGTTTTTTATCTCCGAAAGTGGTTCGTCATCAAATCCCAGCATGTATTCTCCTCTTTGGCCGTCCTCGTTCTCGTCTTCCCAATCATATAAGCCAGTTATTAGCGGCCCTCTGGTGTGGGATACGTCCGAGGGAGAGTCTCTGTGGGCAATAGGGCAATCCCAAGGGTCGTGCGATTCCTTGATTTCAATGTTGTACCCGGAAATTTCTGCTAGTTGAGCACTCACGCTATTGTCTTCGGCGTTCTTGTAGAGGAAATGGCTGTTCTCGTTGTCCTCGGGATAACTCAGTTCAGTATCTGGAAAATAAAAACCAGTGAAAGGAATATATACATATATATACCTGATACTACAAATCGAAATGAGTTTAATAGCATTTTCAATACTTGTGAACTAAAGTAAGAATGTAACGATCGGAATGATATGTGTATTTTAGATACGGTAATTATTTTGTAATGAAAATTAGGGAAATTGGGGTTACCTGAAGTTTAAATATTATGGTTATCAAAGGCTAAATTGGAATACGGTAATTGGAATTCGGTGAAACTCAAAAACAGGACTTGGATATGTATAAGTCAGGGGTAGGCAACTTTGGCTCTTTTATGACTCGTGGACTTCAACTCCCAGAATTCCTGAGCCGAATCATAAAAGAGCCAAGGTTGCCTACCCCTGGTATAAGTAAAATTATATTGACAAATGTATTGACTGAATGAGCTATTAACTAGAAATGTATTAATTTGAATGTGATACAATAATTAAGGGAAATAGAGAGGGAACTTTGAATGACGCAACCTGAGATATGCACGAAAGAGTTTGTTATTGGACAACTGATTAGCCAATCACCACGCTGTTTCCTAAACACTTGGATGTAAAATTGAAAAATTAATAAAATTTGTTATTTAAAAAAAAGGAATATATATATATATATACATGATACTACAAATCGAAATGAGTTTAACAGCATTTTCATGAACACATTATAAAAGTGGATGTTTTCAGTAAATAACAGCTACCCTATTTTGGCAAGTTTGACTTAAATGCTAAGCGTCGGGTTTAGAGCGTTTTCTGTAAACAAGATACGGAGTGAAGGACGCCGTCACATCAAGGAAGACAAACACTTCTGTCCAAGCGAGAGGGAAATTTCAGGAAAAAAATACCTCCATAAAATGATATTTTCTGTATGAGAGCCAGCAAGGGTTCGTGTTGCACTGGGAACAGAGGCCAGTCAATCACCCTCTCTCAGCTCAGCCTACCACACAGGATAGTGTTTGTGGGAGACTGTGACACTGTCTTAGATATCAGCAGTGCTCCAATATCTAAGGGGCTGTCACAAAGAAGAGAGGGTCAACCCATTCTCCAAAGCATCTGAAGGCAGGACAAGAAGCAACGGATGGAAACCCGATCAAGGAGAGAAGCAAGCTAGAATTAAGGAGAAATTTCCTGACTGTGAGCACAATCATTCGTAGGAACAGCTTCCCTCCAGAAATTGTGGGTGCTTCCTCACTGGAGGCTTTTAAGAAGAAAAATACCATTTGTCCAGAATGGTATAGGGCAGAGGTAGGCAACCCAAAACACTCAAAGAGCCACTTGGACCCGTTTCCCACCAAAAACAAAACACTGGGAGCCGCAAAACCCTTTTGATATCTAAAATGAAGATAACACTGCATATATCCTTTTTTACCTTTATGATAAAGGTATATATATCATAAAGGTAAAAAAAGGATATATGCAGTATTATCTTCATTTTAAGATGTCAAAAGGGTCTCTCTCTCTCTCTCTCTCCCTCCCTCTCTCTCTTTCTGCCCTTGGTCTGCCAGTCCCCTTCCCCCACTCTCTCCCTCCCTCTCCCTCTCTCCCTCTCCCTCTTTCTCTCTTTCTCCCCCCCTCTCCCTCTCTCTGATCTTCTGCTCACCTGGCAAGCTGGCTTCAAGCTGTTCTCCAACCAGCTCAGGGGTAGGCAACCTCGGCTCTTTTATGACTCAAGGACTTCAACTCCCAGAATTCCTGAGTCAGCATAGCTGGGCTAGCTAGCTCTCTCCTGCCCTCCCTACTTCCTGCTTCCTGCAGAGACGCAGCAAAGGGAGGAGCCCTGCCCAAAAAGCTTTTCAGCTTGTCGGAGAACATCGTGACTCGACTCTTTTTTAGACAGAGAGAGAGAGAGAGAGAGAGAGAGCACAGAGAGAGAGAGAGAGAGAGAGAGAGAGAGACAGAGAGACAGAGAGAGAGAGAGAGACAGAGACAGAGAGACAGAGAGAGAGAGAGAGAGACAGAGAGAGAGAAGCAGGGAAGCGCAAGTGCCTGTCTCTGTCTCTGTCTGCCAATGGCAGAGGAGACTGGGAGCCACAGGGGAAGGCTCAAAGAGCCGCATGCGGCTCCGGAGCCGCAGGTTGCCGACCTGTGGTATAGCTAAAGCCGCTTTCAGGGTGATGCACCATAAAACCACAAATTAATTAAGCAAGATGACACATTGGGAAATAAGTTAGGACCAGAAGAAAAGGGGAGAGGAGACTATTGAATGAGCAGAAATATCATCTATTCATATACATACAGCTGAATGTGTCATTTTTTTCGAGAGCCAATAGCGGCAGACATTTTTTTTCTTCCTTTTCACAAGGTTTCCTTTTGAATGATAGGGAAACTAAAGAACGATATGTGAGTCATTTCAAGAGTGGTTAAAACCTGAAGCAACTCTACTTGTATAAATATTAGCTCGGAAATCATTTGCAAATTAGAATTGCTAGTCCATTCAAACAGGGAGTGAAATACAGAATCACGAACGAAGCAAGCACAGGTATTTATATATATTGCTGCATTTGATTGCTCAAAAAAAAAAAATCTTAGGGCTGCACATCCCTATTTAACACCACATCTCTGCGTCCTTTCTGATTATATGTAGGTTTTGCAAAAAAAAAGCTTAACTATTTAATGATTTGTTGAAAGGATCACTTAAAAGCAGCTAGCAGAAAAACGTTACGTATTGTAACTTTATATTTAAGCAAGGTGACTTCTCCAAAACCTTTTTAAAGCCCTTTTGAAACGCATCCCATGTATTAATATGGTTAATATGACCTCAATATGATTGATGATTGATATGACCTCAATGGAACCTGCTTGTAAGTGGATACGGCTGAACCAGGGGTAGGCAACCTTGGCTCTTTTATGACTCGTGGACTTCAACTCCCAGAATTCCTGAGCCAGCATGGCTCAGCTTGGAAACCTCTCCCTTTCCCCTCAGCATGGCTGGCTCAGGAATTCTGGGAGTTGAAGTCTAGAAGTCATAAAAGAGCCAAGGTTGCCTACCCCTGGTCTAAACTAATGGACTTGCCTAAAGTTTATTCTATTTCAAATGTCCACACCATCAGATCTTCTCATTAATGGCACTCCTAAGAGATAGTTTAATTTGCAGTTCTTAAAAGCTTGACCCAAACATTCCTTACAGAATCTACATGCTCTGAAAAGGGACAAAGATAAGCCTTGATTGCTCCCTTTACGTGCTTCTTAACTTGGTATGCCATTTATATCATTTCACTTCAGCTGGGCACGGAGGACACACGCTTTACAATAACGTAAGGTTGGGACTCCTGAATCAAGAGTATGTTCAATCTAATCTCGGTTTCCATTCCTATAGAAGTCAATCTTGAGAATGCGCAAGCAGAACTGAATGCGACACTCTGGGTCACATGTAGCATATTCAGAGTCAGGTTACCCCTTTGTGCTTTTCCTCCAATTTCACTTATTCTTTTTTTGAGACACAGTGCCCTGAACTGCATAATGTATTATAGAGATCGACAAAATGGCAGCTGTATTTTTTATTTCCAGTTCCTTAAAAAAAAAAAAACAGCCACAGAATGGAACAATATTTTCATTAAGCTGTCCACTATTGCTCTGAATTAAGTCTTTTTCCTGGTGGTGAACCACTACTAGTGCTGACCCCTTCAGCAAATACATCTAGTTTGGACTGGCCTTTGCCCCAACTGTTATGACTTCCTATTTGCTTACACTGTGTTTCCCCGGAAATACGACCTAGCCATAAAATAAGACCTAGCTTATTTTGGGGGGGTTCTGGCTAATATAAATCCTACATCAAAAAGTAGAGATCTTTTCTTTCCGCGAGAAGTTGTAATTGATTGACCTTCCCCCCACACACACACACAAACTTTTGTTTCCCTGCACGTGGCGGCAGATCGTGAAGGAGAAATGGCATGGGGCTGGCAATCAGGTAAGGAAAGGCATGGGGGATGCTGACGGCAGGACGCCCGCCCGCTTCACCACCCTCCCTCCCTCCCCGGGCCTCCGGCGCTCCACCTGCCGCTTTCTTTGGCCTGGCCGCCCCCACCCTCC